TGGATTGGAACTCTTTTAAGGCAAACTTGCTGAACTTTGGGGGACTTGTTTCTCTACTCTGTGTGTGTGTGTGTGTGTGTGTGTGCATGCGCACGCGTTTCTTTTGTTTATTTCCTTCACAAAACTTATAAGTAAAGTTTGCAACCACCTCTTTGTGTGCTTGTGTGTACTTGGCCTGGGACAGGATACAAATGCATCATTGAACAGGTCAACCCAGAGTTCTCACTCAAGGCACAAATGACCAGACTCAAATTATCCTACTTCAGACACATTATACAAAGACCCAGCTCTCTGGAGAAGGCTCTAATGCTGGGAAAGGTGGAAGGAAGGAGAAGAAGAGGATGACCAGCAGAAAGATGGATGAACTCAGTTACAGTGGCAATGAGCACACCATTGGAAGACCTGAAGGACCAGATTAGGGATAGATAATTAGGAGTTGAAAATGACTTGATGGTACATAATCAAACAATCAATTAACATCTTATAAGAGAGATAAATTTGTGATTTTTGTAGTATTTTATTAATTTTCTTGACCTTATATTCAAAATATTATTTCAAATAGATCACACACTTTCTGGAACAAATTGCCTCTTGCACATTTTCTTATCCTGTTTTATTTTTATATAGTTTCTTGTCTCTTGCTTTGTTGTCATGAAGAGGGTTTTTTTAAGGATTGTTAAGGTTGTCTGCAGTCTACTCTAAAAATATTGATCAACATACTACTTTGGACATTTTTCTCTTCATCTATGAAAAGTTATAAACCACCTCTTTCTTTTCTGCTTTTGGAGTTTCTGGATCATAGTTCTGCTTAAGCACTTGACTAATTGGGCAAATGTGATAGAAGTATAGTACCTGGGAAATTAATATGGTGAGCAACCCATTCAAGTAGCAAACAGGATTTACTATTTGGTAGGAAATGGAGAAAATTCTTTTTTTCTTTTTTTGGGATTCTAAGCTTTCACTCCAAGAACAAATGGTATTATACTGGTGGAAGAGGTCCTTCTGAAAAAAAAAAAAAAAACACTTCTCCTTTAGCTATTGAGTGAAAACTTAGAAATCTAGCTTATATGATGCACACAGTTGAACTATACATACTTCCTGTATGACTGGTGGTTCTGCCAAAAGATTCAGATTTTCTGAGATGTACCTTGAATGTTTAAGAGAGGTAAGAACAAGAGCACCCCAGCAACCTGGCTGATACTCATTGCTGTTTGCCACTTTCCCACTTTGAGAACTGTCTTATGAACTAGCTATGATAATTAAGTCTACTTTTTCTTCTACTCATGTTCCTTTATATTAGCCTGAAAGCCATATACAGTAGAAAGACCACTGTATAAATAAATTAGCAAATTATGAATGTCCACCAATACTAAAGTTTATAAACATCATCATCTTCTTTTTCTCCTCCTGTATTTTAGTTACCTGACTGCAAGTAACAAGCAAAAGTTCTTATACTCCACAAGACCTTTTTTAAAGAGGGCTGCCTTGGTACTTACCTATGTAAGTATTGCTAAAAATCATATTCTTACCCCCTTTAATCTCTTCAGGTGAATTATATTCTATTAGAGACTGAGTCTGAAGAATAAACTAATCCAGCAGCACAGTCGTAACTCAAAGATGTGCTGATTAGAGCAGGTTAGGATGAAGAAGACATCACTTTCAGCATCACAAATCTTTTTTGGCCAACAGAAGCCCGAGCAGAAGTTCCTTTTGCTCGCTGACCAGAAAGCTGTGCCAGCAAACTATTCTGTAGATCAAGAACAGTTGACAGGCAGGGGACCTGAAACAGGATGCAGCAAGGTCTAAGCAAGGGGAAAGCTGAATTTTATTATATCGAAGCCCTGCTCCAGCCTAGATTGGAGAGACAATAATATACTCAATAATTTGAGTCCAGTGGAAGCTGTAACTCCTACCATCTTCTTGCAGAATGCAATTTCCTAATTCCTTGAGTGTTGAAATGGTTAGGATTGGATGTGGCATAGTTTAGTCAACTCTGTGTCAGCTTACCTGGCCATCCTGGTCACTAAAGATTGGGATCATTCTTAGGGATGAATATTAAGACTTACTGTTCATCTAAGAACCTATTAATGGAAGGCCATCTACAACAAGCCTGCCCCCTTCTCCTTTATTATTTGATTTGTGTCTACAATCATTAATGTATTAATGCATTAATGGAGCGTGAGATTAGTTGGAGAGCTAGTGTGAGATTTTGAGCCAGTCACTCTCTCTCAGCCCACATTTCTGACAGGGTTCTTACAGTGATAAAATGAAGGGAGATTCCATGTAAGCTCCTAGAGAAAAAGTGGGATAGAAATTTTATAAATAAATTTAGTTTGATAAATGCTGATCAGGATTAGTCTTAGTTCCAGGTTATATATTGAGTATTGCCATCTAAATCTTTGCTAGCAA